ACGCCGCGCCAGGGGACTCCGTGGGAAGTGGGAACTGGGAACGGCGCCCAGCGGTTCCCCGAGCAGCCACAAGCAGAGGGGCCGCGCCACCCCCACCGGGGACACACAGGGAGCCCGCGGTTCTGGGGGAGGGGCTGAGACAGAAGACAAGCAAGACGAGCAGCAGAGGTTTGGCTGTGGGGACGCGGCGCCAGCCTACGGCTCATGAAAAAGGCCGCTCGCCACATCTCTTCAGTCTCTCATACAAAGACGTGCTATTAGCCGGTGCGATCGCAGAAATTTTACCAAAGGTGCGATAACACAGGCCAAATATCCTAGGCATTCTGAAAACAACAAACCAACAAACGAACACCAAAAAGGCCCCTAAGATGATCTGATTGGACTGGGGCCCGGAAGAGGGAGAAAAGCCGGCCGTGATGTAAAAATGTAGCCGAGTCCACGGGACGGACTCAGCGGGCAGCAGGAAGGCCCAGTCACATGCGTGTATCTTGAGGAACAAACGCCAACAGGGTGGGCTCCCGCGTGGGGCGGAGGGAGTGGGGCTCGGGGGCCTGAGGAGGAAGTCACTGGGCCCGGCCACTCGTCCGCAGGCGGCCCTGAGGCCAGTGCCTCCAGCAGGGGCAGGCGCGCAGTCAGGTGTCCCTGTGCCAGCGCAGCCCAGCCCGGCCCGGCCCTGATGCCGCTGACCCCTCAGCTTCTTTCCCGAGCGGCCCATTAGCTTCCCCACAAAGCTGGGGGCTGGCGGGAGTGAGAGAGCTCGCTCTTGTACCCACAGGCAGGGGAGGTGCTTCTAAGCTGTGTCCCCTCCTTGGGGGTGGCAGCCTGGGCGCCGGCCCCTGCGGCTCTGGGAGCCGGGGAGGAGCAGACACTGGGTGTGAGCTGGAGGAGAAGGTGCGGGCGGCCGCAGCGCTTTTTAGCAGATTGGGCTGAACTGCAGATGTGAGCCACGCGATACGCAGGCGTCCTGGGCCTGCCCTCTCCGCTCAGCCCGCCTGGGACAGGCTCAGTCCCGTCTCTAGGGCCCCCGAAGCTGAGGGCTGAGAACGGGACCAGCAGCTGCTGGGAGAGAGGGCAGGGCTGTGAGTGCGGAGGGAACAGCGGAGGGAACAGCGGAGGGAACAGCTGAGACGGCACTGCAGAGGCCCCCAGCCCCCAAGGCGCTGAGCAGCCTGGGCATTGCAGGGGGCAGGGGGCTCTCTCCTGAGCTGGCTGCTGCCGCTGCAGAGCCCCGAGGCCCTGGGCGGGGTGCACAGCCCCTCCCGCTTACCGCCGCTGATGCCTTGTAGGTCGTTGGGGTCATGGGAAATTCTTCGAAGGTTTTCATCCTGGAGGTTCCCTGGGTCCCTCTGGCCAGGCTCCCCGGGAAGGACACACAGTTGTAGTATCTGTGGGGAGAGCACAGCCGGCGCTGAGGAAGCACCCCACAGCCCTCCCGGAGCTCTGGCCCGCCCCCCACTCCGCTCCTGCCGGAAGGACCCTGGGCCTGGAGTGCTGCTGGGGCTCCCCCTGGGCACCCTCA